TAACATTTCCTATTCTACAATCAATCATCAGCCTAAAATAACTTTGTTTTCACTGTATGCATTGTGTTCGCCATTGTTTCCTTCTTTTCCTTAAACATCATCTTATTTCAGGCAATAAACAGGGCATTATACAAGTAATAGCTATTTAAGTAACTTACAAAATGAATACTTCGAACTATACAGTCTTCCAGTTGTGAGCAACCATGACCTGACTTCAGGGTATACTAAAAACAGACTATCCAGCAATTAGCTTATGTGATGTAGCATCATTTAATGCAACCAGAAACATTAAAGTTGAGTGAAATGCAGAAATGTAGCTCTAGACTAAATGAAATTAAGGTGATGCAGAATGACTACCTTTCTCCACAGTGATTCCACTTTGGAAAGCAGAACAACATTCTCTATATAATCCTATGTGTGCCTTCAAAGTCATTTCAGGACTTCTTTCTGCAAAATTTCTTTCTCCATTACCTGTTTCCCTTCCTTCTAATCACAAAGTTATGCTAATACTCTTATGAATAACAGTAGAACCTCCTACTCCATGATCAGGATTTGTATCATTCATCAAATGTTCAATCAAATTCACTAATGTTAAATCTAAAAGGCAAAGAGCCTACTAATTTTTGTGTTTGCTTTTTACTTAACATTTGGGCTTCACCTATTTGTCTTCAAATCAGCAAGTCACATACAGTGTTGGCACTTAGCAGCACAGGACATTTTCCATGAGGCAGGTCATTGCTCAACTCACTGCTTGTTCTACAGGATAAGGCCTATGTGTAGATGTCCACTTAAGGACATGGTTTTGTAGTGGGCTTGGCAGTGCTGGGCTAACAATTGGAATTCATGGTCTTAAAGGTCTTTTCCGACCTAAATGATTCTGCAATTCTATGTCCATTCATATATACTCCACCTTAAGCTACAAGTCTCAGATGGCTGGAAGGCAGCTGCAGTACAGGCACAGGGCTTAGGGGAGAAGTACTTCACAACTGCTACACCATTATTCAGGAGAGTTTTCATATCAAAAGTACCAATACGCTCATAACTAGTGTACTCTGTTCTCCTGAAGTTCCAAGGATCTTTGTATTGCTGCTATGCCTAAATTGTCCTTCCTTTTCTTCTCCTGGAAAGAAGCAACATCTGTTTACTGCAGGCGAACAATGACACAAAGTGTTCTACTTTGACATTCTGAACCATTCACCAAAGTCCTCAAGCTACAGATGCAGAGAAGTCCCCATACCCCTGCAGAACACTCTCTAGCTCTCTTTTCTTAATCCCACTCTGAGTTATTTCTATCATCTTTCACAGAAATGAAGTAGGTCATTGAAATATTATTTTGACACCACACAGCAGGAATTTGTGCCAAAAATAAAAAGAAGTAAAGGAAAAAGAAAGAAAGAACAAGAAAGTGTAGGTTAGGGAGGCAAATCCCAAGAGTTCACATTTATCCTCACAGGTAGTCAGCTATTTTGGTCTCCTCCTCTCCCTAAAAACAGGAAGAAGTGTGAAGAGCAGCAGAGAACACTCAAGCAGATTGAAGTGTTAAAGGAGTGGAGGTTAAATTTTAGCCCCAAAAGGTAAAGTGAACAGAAGGGGGCAGGCTGGCAGAGAAGAGATAAAATTAGAAGTGTGACTAGACTTCACTTGACTGCTATTTCTGGATCAACTATGGGGAGAGATCTGGGAAGGTTTTCTATTTGTAAGAGAAAGAGAGACCAACATACAGCTGCCTTCTAGCAGGCCAGCCCTGCACAGCAGTTTTGTTTATGCTGTTACTTTTCTAAATCCTCATGCTCTCACAAAATGCCATTATGCATCTGAGTGAGCACCCAGATGAGATTTTCTGGAGCAGGACAGCAATGCGTGTGGGATTTCAATCTGAGGAAACAAAGCTGAAAGCACACTGGAAATGCGTGTGGCAAATCACAATGCCAAGCAGAGTAAACGGAGCCATGTAATACTTTTGGCTGGGGGGTGAACAACAAAACCCTGCAGTAACTCTGAGAGGATGTCTTGCATTTTCCCACTCTAAAATGATTAGTAACATTCTAACTAGGTCCAATTATGGACACAGACTAAAGAAGACAACAGGGACCTCCCAGTTCCAGTATGTAGTGCTTGACTGACACATGGGGTCTGGGGATGAATGTTTCTGCCTGTTGGAGATCTTTCCTCTTGAGTACCTCAGTTAAAATTCCTTCCACTGAGTAATTTCCATCCAGATCCTGGCTGTGCTGGGCTTGTTCCCATATAAAAGAAAACCTGCAGGCAGAAAGCAATGCCATCTGCCAAGTCAGAAGCTGCTTTAATGGACAAGTGTGGTATGAAGGGGAACAAACTATTATGCTTTATCTTCAGCAGCAGGAGTGATGTTTTTCTCTTCCCAGGAGTAGGTTACAGTGAGCACGCTCATGCCTGAAGTATTTGTCCACAAATATACATAGATATCAACGCATTCTGCACAAGCAGCCTTCAGAGAATAAAATTCCATCCAGCATCCCTTTTCTCTTTACCTGTCATGCCAGCTGTTTTCTTCCTGCGACAGCTTCATCAGCCTCCACTTTCTACGCCTGTAAGTGAATGACAACCCTGCCATCACACCTAGGAAGTATGAGCAGTGGCGAGGCAGAAATGCCAAGGCCCTACTGTCCCTACACAGAGGATTCTGCACTAAGGCTGTTTCTCAACATTCCTAAATTTCTTGTCCCTCTTCCATAGCTGTTTTAGCTGGATGATCTGCTCCGAAATCTCATCTGGAGCAGGTCTGACTGGATGGTTTGCTCTGAAATCTCATTTGGAGCAGGTCTGGGATCTGTGTGGCACAGTTCAGATTTCACAAGAAACAGCAGAAAAAATTCCTCTGAATATTCTCACCCCTGCAAATATCTCCAGGGCTAGGAAAAAAAATCTTTCTATTCTTGCCAATTAACCAAGCACAGTTTTTATCCTTCCTTGTTGGGTAATCTTCTCATTAGACCATCTTTGGAGAGAATAGTGGATTCTCTCTGGGCTGCTGGCAGTTTTACTTAATTGCATATTTAACTTTTTTATTCAGATCTTAAACGCATAATGATGAGAAACACATACATGCAAGCAGCAAACTATTATCTGCCATTTAAACTCCCTAGAGAACCCACAAAATCTCAGTATTTCTGTCCCTTTCAGAAGAAAAGGGCAGCCATTCCAGAGCTGGACTGGTAAAGATGACAAACACATATATATAACAATTTAGTGATACATTCGCCATCCCTAACAAAACTCCAGTCTGTTAACAGGGGGATACTTTGGTCCTTTATATATATGAAGAGCTCTGAGAAAAGTCAGCCAACTTAACCGGCACTAAACAGAAACTAGTATTAGAGGATCTGCTGTAGGTTCCTCCTCTCCACCAGGCACAGGACACTCTCAGGGCACAGCAACATTAGTTCTCTTATTTTCCTCACCCAACTCCGAGAGACTAATTAAGTAAATGCTACCAACCATAGGGATTTATTTCCTATTTGATCCCAGAGTTACAGAATTTGCTCCGGAACACACTTATTACCACTGGATTGTGCTCTGGAGAAGGAACTCCATTTTAAAATGCTTCCAGCCCTTATGACTGCAAAACTTTTGAAGTATCAATGGTCTATAACTAGCAACAAACCCACTGAATTCTTCAAAACAGGAGAATGGCTTCAGTATTAGCTATTATCCATCACAGTATGCCAAGTATAGAAATTAATGTTGATAGCACTTCAGACATATCTGATTAATGGATCACCTCAGAGCTGTAAAAACCTGACAATCCCCCAAGCAGGCGCAAAACCCCAGTGGTTCCAGTCTGTTTGCCAAAACCTCCAGTATGGCCATGATAAACTGAGTCAGCTACGTGATGCCAATACAAAAACCAGTGTGATAAAGAAAATGACTGCTGGAAACATGTGAATTAACCAGCATGTTACCATATTATAAGCTTTCCCAGTTCTCTGTTAAAAACCTATTCAATACACAAAGCTACCAGATATTTCCAGTTTGCTCCATCAAAGTTCAAGGGCTTTGCTGGGGATAGTTGTAGCTTAGTAAAAGGTAAGACTTTACCCAGACCCTGACAGACCCCTTAGGTGACCACTAACAGATTTGTTCTGCTGTCAGCAAGCACGGACTGTGAGGTTTAACAAAATGAAGGGTATCCAAAAGCCTTCTAAAGCTCCCAATTAATCAGGTTAACACCAGCAAGGACTTGGTAACTTTCTTAAGTAATTCCCATGACAGTTACTTCAGCTGGTTTTTAGTCTCATTATACAGAATCACTCTGGTCCACATCTGGGCTGCTTTTTTTCTAATGATATGGTTTAAAGTCATCAGGGAAGTCTTCAAATTTAAAAGCCACAGAGCAAAAGGCACCTAAGCTTTATGTTCTCTAAAGAATGGTTATTGCCCCATTTATTTAAGTGGCACTTATCACCATAGATATCTACTAAACTTCCTTGGCATATTGGTGTAATCAGTGCTTTGCCAGGTTATAGCCTCCTGCAAAGAGATCACAATAATAAAGAGGAGAATAAGCAAGTAAACAACTAGAAACGCCCCTTAAGAAAAGCCTTCAAAGGGAGGAAAGCCTGAAGACAAATGAGCATTTAAACACTTCCCCATTTAGGACTATTTCATTGCACAAGATCCAAAATAGTTTCCTTCCCAAGTATTGCATAATATGCTCATTCAAAATGTAGCAAGTTTTCTCACAGAACACACGACACTGCTCTCTCCCCCGCTTTTTTGTCTTTTAAATATGAACACAAGAAATTCACAGCTGATAGCATTCTTCTGGAAACTCACACAGAAAATTCTGGAAAAGACTCAAGTTTGAATTACAGCCCTATAAGTAATGGCAAACATCTCCACATGGTCAAATTCTTCACGCAACACTCTGTGAAAAGGAAGCAACAGAACAAGCAGCTTTTACAGGGCCTTGGGAGTGAACTCTGGCCTCCAAACTGGAAATAAAGAAAAAACCTACGTACCTTCAAAGCACATTTCTGGCCTGTCTCCTTGTTGAAACACTCCAGTACCTTGCCATTGATTCCTAACCCTAGCACCCGTTTGGAGAGTTTGTAGTCATCCGTAACTGCATGTTTCTTTATCTCTAGCTTGACATGGGCCTCTCCCCCAGGCAAGGATTTCACGCTGCTCTTGCTATCCACGTGACTCTCTGGCTGCGATTCCTGTTCACCTTCACTTTGTTCCATATCAGGGAAGAGTCTGAGATGGCAGCGATACCCAACAGATTCCCTGTAGGGTATCCTCAGCAAAGTCCCTCCTCTCAGGTGATCAAACCAAGTGCTTCAAACAGTCCATCTGCTGGCCATTTAGTCCTGAGTGAAAATGTAAACGGGTGTTAGTAACTGATGTCGACTGACGTTTCTTGCACCCAACCGCTTCTCTCTCCCCCTCTCTTAACAAGACGACCAAGCTCTAGAGAGACCAGAAGTGGAGGTTCACCTCAGGAAAGCATACTTGGTTTAGCTTTACAGACCAGTCACCCTCATTCCAACACATATACACACACGTATATGTATCTCAGTCTGAAGTTATGCATCTTTTACTGTAACAAGTGTCTGTGCTGAGTCGTGAACTAAGGTCTCAGAGAAACTCTGCACAACACAACAGAGATAATCCCTGGTTCAACGAACTTATAAACCTGCACCAACAACTTGTTGCCTCAGCATTTTAGGTAGAAACCTCCACAACAGTCCCCTGCCTTAACCGAGTTACGCAAGAGAACCTCAAATACCTGGGTTAAACCCAAGAAGGGCACTGCCTGGACAGGTATCAGACCCGATGCTGGGCCAGCACTTACCAAATCTCCCTGCTCCACAGAACGCGGGGTAGGTACTGCATTACTGAGGGGACCATCAAACCACCCAAGGAACTCGGGTATGTGGAAATGCAGTGGCATGGCTCCCAGAGGCGAGGAGCTGCCGGACGCCGCTGAGGACCAGAAGGCCCTGACCTCTCCGGACTGCAGCCCATGGGGAGGAACCGCTGCCAGGGCCTCCGAGCCCCGATAAGAGGGCTGAGCCACGAGCAGGCGAGGCGGCACGGGGAGCCCGAGGCCGCTCCTCACGCCGCGGGGCCCGCGGCCCGCCCCGCACACACCGCAGCAACTCCAGCGAGGGCCGGCGGCGGGGCGGCTCCCTCAGCCCCCTCACGGCGCGGCAGAGGAGGGCGGGAAACCCTGAACTGAGCTGAGGTGAGGTGAGGCGAGGCGAGGCGGCCTCGGGGCGCGCAGGGGGGAGGCGGCGGAGGGGTACGGCCAAGGGTGGTAACAGGAAGGACCCCAGCGCTGGGCCCGCCGGAGCACGGTTACCTGCCTGTGGCGGCGCGGCGCGGCCCCAGCCGAGGCTTCCCGGTGCGGAGTCCCGGAGGGCGGGGTTTGCCTGGGCCCGCCCCGGCGCCCTGGGCAGGTGCGCGCCGCCTCCCCCCTGCGCTAAGGGGAGCCTGCCTGCGGCGGGGCCGCGACCGCAGCGATCCCATCTCCAGAGAACCCAGCAGCTCCCTCGGGTTCGGGCCGGACCGGGCCCCGGTGGGCTGAGCGGGGAGCGCGAAGGCCCGGGCGGAGCTGCCCCGTCCCGGCTGTGTGAGGCAGGACGGGCGGTGCCCGGGGACGGGGAACGTGGTGCGTTTAAAGCACCGGCCACGTCGCTCATTTACCGGGGGATGCGGGCCTGCTAGAGGGGGAGCGGCGGGGCACGGAACTGCCTCGGCGGCCCCGGGCTTGTGCCGCAGCGCGCCCGCGCGGTGGCAGGGCGGGAGGCGACGCCAGGCAAAGCCAGGCCAGGTCGGGAGCAGCGCTGTCCCCTTCCCCCCCGCCATCCTTTTAGGAACGGGAAAGCAGCGACACGTTCCCTATGAAACCTGTTTCAAACAGTGAGGCTGCTGCTATGGAGCAATGCCGAGAGAGTCGATACTGGACACACTGCTATCCTTCATGGCTGTGGCTACCGAAATAGTCGGTGCTGTTATTAAAGGCAACCTTTTCTGCTAAATAAGCAGTCGGTATTCCTTGGGAGCTTCTGTATGCACAGTCAGGATGTTAAAAGTGACGGTTCCCACAGCAACTGTCGCTCCTCACTGGTGCACAGGGTGCAGTTACAGGGATGCGAAACGCTGAGTTTTTCCTACATGTGAAGATGAGTCATGCGTTGAAATGGAGCTGTGTTTGTATCGCTGGATAGAGCTTAAAGTTCACATGCTTTACAAGTTAAAAATACATTTGTCGTTTTACGTAACATAACGGCATCTGGAGTTCTAGCAGTTAGGGAAATAATTAAAAGGGCTAATGAGTCCTTTCTCCAAGGAATAAAAACTAGTTTAACTTAGCAGGGTGCAGATCTGCAGCATATTGCCACGTGATAGGATGCTACCGCTATTCTGCATCAGGTTTCCCTTCCAGGCGTTCAGCAGTTCAGCTACTGGAGAGCCTGGTCCCCTACTTCTGTTCCGCTATTCTGGGCTAATCAAATCCCAGAGGAAACCAGCTATTTCCAGCCTTTCCTTCTCAGGTTTGGCTTCCAGCCTTCTTAGGCTTTGCACCACCTCCCACTGTGACATCTCAGGGAAATGTATACGTAACTGTAAGCTCCCAGGCTGCAAACCTTCAGTAGCACTGTTCTGCAGTCAGCAGCTTGCTCTTATTTCCCTTCCCACGGCTTCTGTCTGTACCGGCTGGTTTATTTGTCCTGGATGGTAATTCCCTTCTCTTTGCAGGAGGTAACTACAGTCCTGGAGCCAGCTCTCAGTCACTGGGGGGCCAGACCCTACAGAAAACTTCTCGATCTCCCAGATCTCTTCTGTATTCTACAATCTGAGAAATATACTCACTCACACTGATGTGTAAGGTCCCATTCCCACCCCACTTCTGATCTTTCCCTCTAACTCTTACACAGAGGTCTATGGCTGACAAAAGCAAGCAGAAGTTACAATGACCAGCACATTGGAGTTTAGCAGAAGGTAATTCATGGCCCTATTCTGGGAAAGATTAAACACTGCAAAAAATTCCAAACACATGTCTACTCAAGGGGTTGCTATTTTTTACAGTGTGTCAGAAGCCAGGAATTTCATTAAGAAATTATGACTCTAACTATTATAAGAATGAGTTCCTACAAAATTAGCTTTGCCTAGAAAGAAAGGAGGAAAGATGAGGGAATAAGGCAGGATTCTTCCATGTGAAGATACTTGGTTCTACATGTCTCAGTTACAAACAGTCTCCTACTGAGAAGAGTTCAACTGATAGGATACAAAACACATTTTTCAAGTCACTGCTGGAAACGGTACCTTACTGAAAGCTGTGCCTGTTTGGGTACACTGCTCAGTATTGTCTGTATAAGCTCTTAACAAAGTTCACTGTTTTACTAGGAACCAGTAATAGTTTAATCTGGGCAAAGACCTTAAAATTCCAGTGTGAATCATGGTTAATAAGGCCTTACAGCAACCCTCTGCTAATTTCACCCACCATAAACTCTGAAAAAGCCTTCCCAGCACCAGCCCAAGGATCAAACAGCCTCACTGTACACCAGGATAACCACAGCTGAGGAACAAAGAACAAATATATTCCCTTGCTTTCTGTGTGCATTTTTTGTCTTGGATAGGCTATCCAAGCACAAGACATATCTCTACCCCAGGCAAAACACAAATATCATGTGCAGAAAACCTCTAAAACTGCTGACTGACAGTTTTTCTCAATATCAAAAGTCTTTTTTAACAGAGTGTTTTCACAAGTGACAAGATGCAACCTGATACTGTAAAACCATCCCGTGCTCTTGTGCAAACTTCAGAATCTCCCCTGATCATGCTCAGCTGATACTGGCTATTCAGAGTTACTCTGACCATGCTGGGCAGCCCCAAGGCAGCCTGGTTTGGGTGCTGCACCATTGAAATGACTGCTACAGTGACTTGGTGTGGCATCTTAGGGGACTGGACCTGCAGACCTGTGCCAGGTACCTGCTCTGAAGTTCCCACACTCATAAATCCTGGCCTTTGCAATCCACGCACAGTTTGCACAGAACCAAGAACATTCCTTTGTGCAATGTCCTATTCTTAAGCTGATTAAAGTTTTATAATTTCTCCAACAAACCCTGGGAAGGGCCAAGCATGTTGGGTTCAGGCACACAGCTTAGAGATAACATCTGGGTTAACCTTAACACCTCTGGCATCCTAAAGGCAAGCAAAGGGGCTGCAGCTGCCCCCTGGTCTGGCTCTAGGAGCATTTCCCACAATGTCTACTTTAAATGCCACCTTTACATCTCCCCAAGAATTATATCTCACAAGATCAAAAACTTACCCCATGAATCCTGCAGCTTCTCTCGTGCCTGTGGCAGGTTAAGCTGTGTTAGCATCCTTTGGACATACTGATGGAGAGGCCATGCTGATAGGCCCACTGCAGCTGACTGAGCCAGGGGAGTTTTTTCATTGAAAAGAGGCTTTTTATTTATTTACCAATGTTTGCTTTTTGAAGTTTAAAGGAGCCCAAGCACAGTACTATTACAAGGTAACAGCCCACTGTGTCAAAAGTTCTTTCATCCTCACAAAAATCCCTAAACCGGTACATTAAATATTAATCCTGTTTTTACCAAAAATTCCCACCAGCAAGAACACAAAATAACTTATTTCAAGAGTGAATTTAGTAGCTCAGCTGTGCCTGCCTTACCCCAAACTAAAAGAGTAGCTTATAGGAGAAAATAACCAAACAATAAGGCCCTAATCTTGGAACAAGATTTGAGGAAGCAGCCCCTTTTCCCTAAGTTAGTGTGCTAATCAAGTGCAGCTTTGTACTATAGCCAGGACTTCGTTCCTTACTTCATAGAATCAAAGACTGGTTTGGGGTGGCAAAGCCCTTAAAGCTCATTCAGTTCCAGCCCCCTGCCACGGGCAGGGACACGTTCCACTAGAGCAGGTTGCTCCAAGCCCTGTCCGACCTGGCCTTGAGCACTGCCAGGGATGGGGCAGGCACAACATCCTTGGGCAACCTGAGCCAGTGCCTCAGCACCCTCACAGTAAAGAACTTTCTTATACTGAATCTAAATCTCCCCTGTCCAAGCTTATAATGTACTGGAAATCACAGATACTTGGTTTACACACAGAAAGCACTACTGTTGAAATACAGCAGGTTAATTTTGGCTATCCCACTGGCTATTGTCACTGCCTTTTGAACATGCTGTAGCAATTCAACAACAGCAATATCTGGTTTCAAAGACATTTCAGACTTTCAAATACCATGTTTCTTAGCACAAATGAAATGAAATATCTCAGTTTGCTGTCATCTGGAGAGCTAAGAAAGCTGATGGCATCAAATGTTCTTTAAGGGATAGCCTATTTTGGAAGAGTAATACTGGAAAGCTACAGTTATGTAAGTCTACATACAGAACTGATTTGCATGGAGGTCAGTCCTTTGATAGCAGTGTCTTGTGGAAATCAATATCATCTATAATAACAAATTATCGCCATCAGCTGAAAATATTGTGACTTGTTTTTCTGAAACACTCCTTTCTCTGAGTAATAGCTATTTATATTTTTCTGGCGTTATGAGAAATCCACTCTCTGGGATGTGTTATATAGATGTCACCAAAGAGAAAGTCCTTTGTATTGTCAGGTTAAAGTGAGGACACAGCTTTGTCTGACTGGGAGGCTGCAGTCAGACAAAGCTTATTAAATCTCTCAGGAAGTTCTTCAGAGACTGCGTCTGTGACACTAAAAGAAAGGAAGGGCAGCTTTACAGAACAATATTGTGATATGAGGGAGAAGAAAAGCTTCTTGTAGGATCTTTAGTGTAGTCTGTCATGTACACAGTGGTCTTAAGAGAGACTATGTACACGTTTTTTCCTCCTGCCTTGCAGTTCTGCTCTGGAGATGTCTGCCTCAGACTCAAGTCAAGAAAGAAGGTGGGGGGGAAGAGAAAGAAAAGCCCAACAACAAGCCACAAACTGAAATAGTTTCTATAATGCAAACAACTGGGAAAGCTCAACAGCAAACAGAGCAACCTCTTTTCTCTCCATGGCTGAGGTAACACCAGCTTACAAAGTTCTTTCATGGGCAGTGATGTTTACGTCATGCTTTGTGATCATCAAACTAGAACAACCTCTTTTTTATTCTCAAATCCTCTGCCCTGACCTGGGATTATAACATGGTTTCTAGGAGGAATTACAAATTGTGGCTATGAACCAGCTGCCAGTGAAGGGAAGTCTCAAGAACATCAGTCTCACTACCTGGAAAGCACATCCTAATACCTCAGTTCCTCAAGATCACTTCCTCCCTGTAATCCCCACGTGCTCACCAGGCATTTTTCCACAGACATACAGGTGAGGCTAGAACAGTTGCTTTTATAATCCTGGACTCAGACAACTTACTGCAGATACCTTGTCTTGCTTATCACTAATGTTTTGGGAGGCTCCAATCCCTGCTCCTCCACTAAGAGTTGCTGCCCAGGGATCCCAGAGCAGAAGGAGCTCTGGGACAAGGCTTATTTACAGAGGGAGTCTGACATTTCCTGAGGGGGTTGAACATTTCCATTTCAGCAGAGAGAGAGAAAAATAAAATGGCAGAGGTTTTCATAGAAGTACCATAAATCAAAAGCATCACAAGTTTTCCAATCTTATCTACAGAAGACGCTGCTTAATTTTATGCTGCAGTGGAACACAAGAAATTGATCTCTCATTTGAAAAATATCCTGCAGCTAGTGGTATGACAACAGTGTCTGATAGTCCTGGGTGGCCTTTCAGGCCTCTCAGGAATGCAGTTTTTGCAGACACACACCATTTAATACAGGCAGAAAAGTCTCTAACATAGAAGCATCTGTTAGGGACTGCAATCATCTTCTAGGGCACCACATGTCAGCACACCTAGGGACAATGAATACAGTGAGTTCCTTACAGGAACACCAAGGTGTCTGTAGTCTGAAATGAAGCCCATTGCTGTCCCACACTTCTCATGGAAGCAGCTCAGATGTGGCTGCCTCCATGGCACAGCTCATCCACACACTGGAGACCTCTCCATTACTCCACACCAGGCTGGGAAATCAAAACTACAACAGTAAGTTCATCACCCTCTTGTGTCTTGATTACAGAAATTGGTGTGCCCTACTCAGCAACGAGATGGTCCATCTAAACAAGGACAGATGCTTATTGCTGTGATGTGTGTTGGGTCTCATGCTGCTCCTTACATTACCACACAGGTGAGGGTCAGAGATGGCTTATGGCCACACAGCAGCCAGAGGGACAACTTTCACTCTTCTGTATATAAGCTTATAGCAAAGGCAAACCTAGTTCTCGAGACAGCTCTCGAGAGTTACGATTTTGGATGTTATTTTTCTTCTTCACCAACTCTACACGGTTACAGAAATGTGCAGCTGAAGCAGTGTGCCCTGCCCGCAGTGGGAAGGAGACTCTGGCCGCCTGCCTTCTCAAACACACGTTCATCAGTAGATGGTGCTGTTGTGCCGGTGAACTTCCGAAGGGACTGCCTGGCTCTCGATTTCTGGATTTTCCTACCTCCCTGACTTTATCGTGGGCTTTCTTTGATGCCTTTCACAATAAAGCCTATCACTCAACAGGATTTCTTGTTACTGCCTCTGCAGTCTTCTAATTCTTCAACACTGAACCCTGAGGAGCCATTTAGACCAGTATAAACTGGGTTTAAACAACCAATTTGTTGAAATAGCAGCAATTTATATTGGCTGTGCACAGGTAACCAACAGCACTAACCCTGGGGCATGAGCAAAGCAGGCACACTGTTCTGTTTCCTACTTAGGGCATTACCAGTGCGTGAGGAATGCCAATGAGGGGCAAAGCGGTTAGGCAGAGTGATGAATTATTACTGAATGCTCCTGACTTAAAACCCATCATTAATTCTGTCGATAAAATAACCCAGGCATTAGCCTGAATACTGGTTTGGGCTGGGCCCCTAAAAAAGTTTCCAGTGAAAATGAAAGCTCCTTTCATTAATACTCACACCCATCAGCTACTTCAATTTAATGGTCATCTTTCAGGACTCGTGGGAAGAGCAGCATGGATGTAGTGACTGCAGGGGGAAACCACTGCATCGGAATGCAATGCATAGTGAGCAACGTGGGGTCCGCACTGGTGTGAACACCTACACTGCTTCCACGGAGCACAGATACCGAACTGCTGGCCGAGCCCCCCTTTCCATGCGATATTTCCACTGTAAGTTAGAGTTGTGTTTCTGCTCCCGACATACAAATGGCTACTCCACCCACAGCACAGAGCCTGCAAACAAAGGCTTTTCCAGACGATCACTAGATGGAGCTCAATTCTAAGTACAAAAGCAAGTAAAGCTCCCTTCTCAGTGGCTGCGCTGGGCTGCAGTGCTCCAGCCTCAGAAACACAACAGCTGAGATCTCTGTCCCCCCTCCAAGGCTGAGGACGAAACACCTTCTGAACATGCAGGTTAACTACAGCTTGTGGGAGGCAGCACCCACTTCCTACTCTCTAAGCTAGCTCTGTTCGCATCCATTGTGCTGCTGCACCACCAACACAAGGTTTTAAATCCCTCTGAATTCAGACAGAAAGGAGCACCTCCATGCAGGCATCCCCCTGCAACCCTGAGCCAGGACTATGCCTTTGAATGATCTTGTGACTGTTGTGCTTGCATAGGGCAGGTGAGGACTGAAATTCCTCTGCCAGCTCCTCCCCTCTCCTGTGAATTTACCCATATCCAGATGAAGCGTGAGCTGAGGTCAACCTCAGGTTGAGACACAAACTGGTCAGGGGGGCACGCTTGATGACATTCCCATCCCACTGGACAGCTCTTAGAGGGCCCTCAGCACCTCTCTTTGGACAGCTGGGTACTGGCAGTAGCGCTTGTTACAGCACTGCCCCTGATGTAGTAAAGAACAGAGATGGAAGCCTGCAGAAGGCTAAACAGCAGCTAAATGAAACAGCAGGAGGCAAAGGCTGAGTAAGGAGCTGAACTTAGGCTTCCTGCTCTCAGGCTCGTGTCTGGCCTGTGGGAGCATCCTCTGAAACTTATCCTTACCATCACCTTCCCCTCTGTTCCCACCCCATCCACTTTGGTTCTGAACAGCACAATGACTAGTATTTCTAAACATTCAGTCTCCTTCAGTGGAGGTGACAGACACGCCACTCTCACACTCTCGCTGCTCCCTGCTATGTGAAGAGGTGGCAGCCCATGGCAGGGAAAGAACAATCCCGCTTCTGTTATAAAGCATTTGGAAAGGCTCAACAAGGCTATAAGTAACTGAAATTCTTCCTCTTGGACAGGACAAACTGGTGGGGGTGGTTGAACCTTTCCCAGGAGTCTGAGATCCAAATCCACAGGGGATTCCCAGATGACCGAGGCATGAAAGCACCACATGCAGTGTGACAACCTCCCGTGGAACCCCTTGTTTACCGGAGGGGGACACAGACCCTATTCTCAGCCCCACAGCCACCACCTCCCTCATCACCCAACTGTGCAAACGTTCCCATGACCCAGGGAGGTGCTGCGGGTGCGGGAGGATGCTGACACGCGGGGAGGGCGCTAAAATAAGCAGATCAAAATCACAAATGAACCCAGAAACAGCACAAACGCATAAACCCGCATGGGAGTGCGTAAAAACAAACGCGTGTGAACAAATGAACGCTACAAACGGCCTGCGGGGAGCGCGGCGTGCGGACGGCCGTGCACAGACACGAGATGCCCAAGCCGGGACCGGCTCCCCACGCCCCTCCGCACTCCACCCGCGCGCTCCCGCGCATGCGGTGGGCGGGAGCCTCGGCACCGCCTATTGGCGGGCGAGGAAGACAGCGGCGGCGCTCATTGGCGGGCGAGCGGCGGAGGCGGCGCCCATTGGCGGATGGGCGGTGGCGGCGGCGCCCATTGGCAGGGCCCGCCGCGGCGGCCCCGCGTTCCTGGAAAGTTCTTGGAAACGGATCAAAGGCGTTTCCGCGAACACGCGCGGCCCCGCACGGCCACAGCCCGCCCCGCCCCGCCCGTTCCGCTCCGTTCCGCTCCGCTGCCTGCCCCGGCCGGCGGCGCTGACAGCAGCGCGGCCGTTACGGACACCGCTATTTATACCCTCTCCTCCCCTCCCTCCCTCCCTCCCTCCCTCCCTCCGCTTCCCGCGTGGCTGATATCGGAAGAGTGATGTGAACACAATGCGATTCCAGGAACCCCTCGCTTCCTGGAACAGATTAAAAGGGGCACACAAAAGATTAGCGAGGAGGCTTCTTCTCTTTTTCTCCCCGCCGAGCCTCTCCACTCGGGCAGACAGGGCCAACGCAGGGCGCTGCGCTCCCGCTCTCCTCCCCCCTGCACCCTTATTTATTGCTACCTATTTATTGCTATTTCAGAGCGCTCTGGATGGTTTTTTTCTACCGGATTGCTCTGAAGGAAGATCAGTTCCGCTTTAAACACGTGTAATTTCCCTTTTCTCTGGGTAATTTTTTTAAACTTTTTTTTGTTGTCCTTCGCTGGAAAGCAGAACAAGAACGCTTCATTTTCTGAAGCACAGCGGGAGAGGGCACACATCTTCCCGGCTGAAGTTGCTGAACGCGCTGTGAAGCCTCTCTCGGACAGCCCGATCCGCTTTCGGCTTGGCTTTTTCTGTGTCTTCAGTGGAAGGGGTTTGCTGGGGCTCTCCAGCCTTCTCTGACTGTGAGCCCCTAACCAGAGGCTGGGACTAGCTTGCTCCGGCACGGAAGCAAAGAAAAAGGAGACAAGAAGAGAAAAAGGAGAAAGCATTTCCCACCTTCTTGAAGACTTAATGCTTTTCCCTTGGTCCAGGAGTGACATGATCCTCTGTGTTCAGGGGTAAGAGATTCTGCAACCTTCTTTTAAATGCTGTGGTTTGATAATTGTAATTAGTGAGATTCCCAGGGATAGCTTTTCGGCTCATGTGAGTTGCTATGTGTGATTGTAATGGAAGAGCAATGGCTTACACTAGCCTAGTGCTGGGTTCTCTGTGTCCTATGTATCAGCTCTTTAGATTCCACGGCTGAAATCATGGGACCATGAAGTATTCCTGCTTTCTGCTGACAAACTACATGGTTTTCAAAGTCGGGGGGGGGGGAGTAAAAATCAGTAAAACCTTGGAGTGTGCTGTTCAGAGGCATGGGTAACACCAGCAGACACCAACCCCAGACTGTAGGGCTTCTCTCATGTCCCGGCAGCAACAAACTGCTTACAGGGAAAAACTTCCCCACAGTTCAGATGGTTTTGCCGATTTCTAAGTAAATATTTATGCTAAACTCATTAATTTCATTTTCCAATAGCTTTTATGGGTAAAGATTAAATGTATGTACATATATACAGACCTACCCATACACAGCATTCTGTAAAATGAAAGCTCGGGGGGGGGCACATAGAATCATAGAATAGTTAGGGTTGGAAAGGACCTTAAGATCATCAAGTTCTAACATGTATGGTTACACCACTTTTGGTCAGTAGAACAGGTAATGACCATGTCCCTTCTCCTGTATCAGTGGCTGGTACTGGTGTGCTGGCACTCCAGCGTCTCTGTGACCAGCTGAAGTCATCAACATGTATTCATACCTGGTCTGCAGGAATCAGTCAGCATTTTTACACACACTGCGTTATTTGGAAGGTGTCAGCATTTGTTTCAGCCTGAGCTGTAGCGTCAGCATTGCCTATGCAGGTTTTCCGCAGAGGCAACGCATTTGCCTTGTCTGCTTTAAATGACTAAAGCATGGGGATTTTTCTGCTATTTCCCCCCCCAAATCTGTTCCACAGACACGCAGAGCTCATGCTTACCAACACTTTCCTACTACTCAAGTGGGATTGTTTTCACCCGCATCTGCAGTCTGCTACTGCAGTTCCCATAGCCCTATAGGCAAAGGGAATTCATGTTTCAGCTTGGGCTTTGTGAAACCCTTATGTGAAGCTTTTCTCCAGGGTTAACATTCCAGAGCTACTGCTTCCCTTCACTCACTAAGAACTTGCTATGTAGCCCAACATGTAGATGGTTGCCTCTTAATATCTCGTTTAATGACAACTTATTGCTCAGTTTTCACTATCCTACAGGATTTCAAATAGCCTGGCTCCATGCTCTCTCTCCTAGGGCTCCCTTGGGAGTCTTGGGATGTGGCTGGTGGACGGGAGAGCAGCTCGATACACTTTTTCTTGTACTATTTGTCCTGTGTTACAAAGTTTAGCTTATCAGCAAAGGGACTGCAAAGCTAACACTAAATGCTCTCAGACATATCTGATCCTCTTTAACTTTCTTGGCATTCCATGGCCTGTAGAAACACTAATTGCCACAGCACAAGGCAGTTCATTTGCTGTTTCTCTCCAGACTCCACACAGGCTCCCAGCTACACGTGCTCTATTTTGTACATTTGTTTTCTTCTGCATGGCAGTTGTACTAGCACTTTGCTCAGTCCTGATCCTCCACATCTCCCCTCTACTTTCTTTCATACAGGCACACCTTATTTTCAAGTACTTACTGTGCTCCATTAAAGGGCTGACTTTTCATGCCAGTACCTTTTTCAACGTGTCCTTATTCCAGAAAACTCTTCCTAACCCTCTTGCAAATGTATCTGCGTTAAAACTTGCAGTCTGCTGTTACTCACTGCTCCCTCTACTCTCCCTTTCGTGTGCTCGGAGCTGCTCTGTTTGGTCACAGCAGCAGTTCCTCTGTCTTCAACCCACACACAAAGTTAAGATGCTGCTGCCTCCCAGTCTATGAGAATTTCCAATCCCCCCTCCCTGTTCCACTACACGGGGTCTGGGCTCCTTCAGTTTCAAGTGGCAGAATGAGGGAGCACAGTGGGAAACCTCATCTCAAGCGCACGGGCTCTGCTTCGGAGATGCACAGTGGCTCTATTAAACAAACCTACTGACAAATTCACACCGTTGATGTCTTTTGGAGGACTCAGCTGGGAGCTGGCTCAGCCCTTGAAATGAACAACTTGCTGCAGTGAATCAGGAGTATGTTTCCCTGCGTAACTTTGCTCTCTCTTCAAGGGCTCTTAGCCAGTTCCTAATTCCCTCTCAAAAGCAGGTGTACATAAAACGGAGTTCCACGCTAGGGAAACAAGAAAAGTTTTCTTCCTGTTCAAAACCAAACAGCAGCCAGAAAAATTTTCCAGAGGAGAATAAGTACAGAGAGATTTGGAATTTGGACTGCAGTGTCCAAGCTCTGCGGAGCAAATGGGCAGTGAGCAGTGCAAGACTGATTTTACTTAACATTGATCACTGTCCCTTTCCAGCTCAGTGAACAGTTGGCATAAGGACACACTTGATGGAGAAAGCTCTGCCAACAGACCCTCTTTGCGCAGCACAAACTGTTCTATCAGGTTCAGTACAGGGAAGGATCTGGTTTATAGACCTCTCTGCTCAAAATGGGGGGAAGTGGAGAATTTCAGGAATCTCCTCCCTCCAGGAAGGCAAGCAGCCAGACACTTGCGGAGACCATGACATTAAGATGGATATAACCAAATACCTTTGAAAATACAGCCCTCAATACCTACAAATGTAGCTCAGGTGGGATTTAAAAGGGAGCTCAGAGGTTTCCCAACAGCAATATCCAGGTAGAAAAGTCTATTCAGAACTACGGTTCTGTGAGAGCCACTGAAAACACAGTCCATGCGATCAAGGGTGCCTGGGGAAGGGCCAGCAATCAAATCACTTTTATTAGCTTTGGCTTCCTACCCATCAAGAGAAACTAAGCAATGGACATCAAATACTATGAACATCAAGTAGATATCCTGCTTCTGAAATGTGATTTGACACATGGAAAAAAGAATGTTCTTTTCTAAATACTAGTGGGATTTTGCTATGTACTACAATACCCATACATAGGACGGTGGAGTGTGCACATCAGTTGACAACACATTTATGTATGTACCTCAAGTGTCACTCTTCACATAAAGCACAAAGATGAGAAGGGAAGTGCTTATGACTTCAGTCTCCTTCCACTTCTCATTGATATGGGAGGACGAGGCTGCTGCCTTTGCAATCACCATCAGCTCCAGCGGTGCTGCGATGGTCTCACATTGAGGACTCTGAATCTCTCTGGAAACTCACCCATCTTATGTTAAGTGTCTGAAAGAACATCTCAAGCAAGCGAGTGCATGTGAGTGACACAACACAGGGCATGCAGCAGTACAGGGCACACAGAGGCAAAGAGCCTAGGAGAAAAGGTGAACTAATAGTTTTGTTCAGGAGCCTGCCTGGGGGTGAAGACTTCCCTGGCCCCTGGCATCTGTCCTCACCCTGGAGCTCTGCTTTCCTTTAGGAACCCTTCTGCTGCAGAGAAGGAGCACCTATGGCCCATGAGAGCTCCAGGTTTTGTGAAACTGCACTTAGATGCTGGATGGCTACACTGACACTCTCTTTAGGCCACAGAGGGATTAATGTTCATAGCAGCCCAGCCATGCAGCACCTCTTCCCGCTGTAATCCTGCAGGGATTACATTGCACTGAGATCTCTGCCATGCAGTTGAACACTAGGGATTGTGTGGTGAACAGGTTTAGCTAAAACAAGAATTCCCATTATTCTACTAGAAGATCAGCTCACCCTGATTTCTAACAGACACATTTAGGATCAGGTCACCCTTGAGCAGGAATTGGGTAGGAGAAATCTGAAGCTATTCCCAGTTCTCCTTCTAATTATGTTACAGTAGATGACTAACAAACCCAGTGGCACAAAAAGAAATGTTCCAGCATTATCGTGGTGCAAGTGAAGCTGTAATGATGCTGTGAACTTTACTGCCTCTGAAACTACACACTAAAAGGCAACACCTAAAAATATCAGGTTTAAAATCAGCCTAAATTGCAAGATATATCACCTTTTACAAGGTGGAAGAGGCCAACTCTTTCTCCTTGTTTCTAAAGGCTCATCTTTAGCTGTGTAATTTTCTCCCCCTTTCCTCTCTCTGTTTGAAACATTCTCATATTGAGGACCTGCTTAAAATAACACATATGCAACATGCACTGAACAGACACTGCAACCTATTTCAAGGCAAGGAAACATAGCAGAGTATGTTCTTCCTTTCAGACCTCATCCTTTGCTGGCGGAGGAAAAGATCAGGAGACTCTCACTCAGGGGCCTTGCGGTGGAACTGTCAGAGCCCATCATGCAGCCTCTCCCAGTTATGGCCTTCCAGGAGGAGTCTGCACCTGCCTTTGCAGCCCCAGTTCCAGAGAGCAACCCACCTCAGATCCGAGACCCTGAAGAAGACCTTCTCTGTATTGCAAAAACCTTCTCCTACCTTCGAGAATCTGGTAAGGTTCAGCTCACAAAGTCATGGCTGCAGTCTGAGCTCCAGCAACAATCTCCTGATCCCACTTCAAATAGGAACCTGGCTCTGTAACAGCCATGGCTGGCTTGTGGATGCAGCAAGTGTATTTTCAGTCTCTACAAACTTGCATCCTGAAGTCATTTATTATTAGTATAAGCAAAAGCTTTGTCCTTTATAACTGAGTCAAGATAGAGAACTGCAAAAAAAGTCTCTCTTTCTCTGCAAACTGCAATAGCTGCAAGAGTAGTCATCCTCATCCCCAGCCCCAGCATGGCAATGACAAGCATAGGTATGAAACCCTTAGAACGAAGGGTTCCAAGAACCCTAAGAACTAAGAGATGGTCTGTTTCTGAAGGTCTTACTGAAACTGGGCTTGGTTGCTTACCAGGTTCTGAGCTCAGTAGGCTTCAAGGCTTCCCTAAGTATAGTGCCAGTCCTTTAATACATTCTTTGCCTAACGAGTTCTTTCTCGGATGCTTTTCCAGGTTGGTACTGGGGATCTATCACTGCCAGTGAGGCTAAGCAGCATCTCCAAAAGATGCCTGAGGGCACCTTCCTGGTACGGGACAGCACCCACCCCAGCTACCTGTTCACACTCTCTGTCAAGACAAACCGAGGTCCCACGAACGTGCGCATCGAATACACTGACAGCAAGTTTCGGCTAGACTCCAACTACTTGTCCAAACCTCGCATCCTGGCCTTCCCAGATGTGGTCAGTCTTATCCAGCACTATGTCATGTCCTGCACAACAGAAAGCAAGAACGAGGCTCCTTACCCGCCTCCGTCTCCTCTACCTCCCCTGCAGAAAGAGATGGCAGCAGCTGCAGTACACTTGAAACTCATCCGGCCGCTCGGCCGCAAAGACAACATCCCCACTCTCCAGCACCTCTGCCGGCTGCGGATTAACAAGGCTACAGCCGATGTGGACCAGCTCCCTCTGCCCAGGAGGATGGGGGACTATTTGAAGCAATACCCTTTCCAACTCTGAAGCATGGCCATTACATCTCAGGCATGACAGGGACAAAATAAGAGAACTTTGTGTCTTTGTCCCGCTGAAGCACGACATCAGGTGGGCACAGTAAAGACCTGATTATCAGCAGAGACTGCATCAATCTTTCCTCTCCCTTTCTTTCTATATCCATTCCAGCACCAGGGAGGAGTTGGTTGTTTCAGTGAACAATGGGACACAATCTGAGCTCTGAACCTCAGGCCGTGCTGGCAGTGGCTGTGAGAAAGTGCTGTAGGCATGGTCACACTACTTGAATTTCAGAGCTGCTGTGACACCGGCAATGTTAACATTGTTATTTTCACTATTTATTTCCACGGCAGTTTCTCTCCTCATAGTATTTTAAAAGCACCTTTTACTTTATTATTTTTTGTTTCTTTTTCTTTTGTGGAGTTACAGATAGAAGAAAGTCCCCCAGCCAAATGACAGCCAGAAATCTGTGGGAATTTGGATTCGCATTCAAACAGTACCTGCTTGAACCTGTCCCTGTAACAGGTCACAGGAGTCCATTCAAGTTCCCCCAGACTTCTGGGGTATGTGGGACTCAGACCCACCTCTGCAGAGGTAAAGAGTACTTTTTCTTTCCCCTTCCTTAGCTCCATGCGACTGGGTACCATAACCTCAAAGCACACTGGTAGCTCCCAGAGATGTGTTCTGCATCATAGGATGTGGACAAGAGACTTCGCCAAGGAAGCCCTTCTTCCTTGACAGCTCTAAGCAGAGATTCTCAATATTGAGCTTGAGCCAGGGAGCACTCATCCCATTTATTTTTCCTTCCATCTTCTCTGTGTCCATGACAAAACCTTTAGACACAAGTAATCAGACCCCCAACTTTCTTATTTGCAGGCTGGTTTCAGAGCACTCTGCATTTGGCTTGTGTTTTTAAGCGCTGTTTCCTGACATTACCCTTGCCTCGCAAGCAAGTGGGGGGGTTCAGAGACAGCTCTGCTGAGCTGCACCCGTGACACACAGCTTCAGGATATTTATTTATTTATTGGGGGGGTTCCAAGTTAGAAGCACCTCAGCAGAAAGAGCTGTCCTTCCCCTCTGCTAACACAACGCCAGACTGCAGTTGCTCTGCCTCTGCCAGCATTATTGAGGAAGCACGCAGCTTCAATCAGAGCAAGGCTCTAGCACACACTGGAAATCACAGTTCAGCGTTTCTGTTTGCCTAGCTCCAGACCTCTCCTCTCCCTTTCTCTGACCTTCATGTTGGATATCCTTCACTGGATTCTTTGCTTTGGGTTTACTTCTCACACCCCTGCAAACGAAGCACAATGGCTTTCCCTTGCTCTTTGGTGGGTAGGAGGGACAAACAGCAGATGGGGTCTGCCCCAAACTAAGCATAGACAGAAGTTGCCCCCTCCTATTAACTTGCTTGATCCAGTCGCCTTCCCAGCCTGTAGGAGCCAGTCCACACCATCAAGTGAGAGCACAGAAGGGAACAGAAAAGGTCTGCAGCAGCTATTTTTCAGCTTCTTTTGCCTCTTAGACCCTGTAACTTGACTGTGCTTGAACCAATGGGACTGTCTCTCTGAGGCTCTGTAAATTAGAATAGGCAAACCCCAGCTACACCTGAGGGCTGGAAGAGGAGGTGGAAAAGGATGGGATAGTGACCCAGGAGACAAGCTCCAAAAACGGGTGGAGTTTTTTCACCCTATCTTAAAGCTGCCCAAAGGGACAAGATGGCCTGATGTGCTCAGTCACTGTCCTTGGTTTTTTTCACCACATTTATATAAGTTTGTGCTCTTGCAAGCTTTGGTTTTGACACTTTGATGATTGACAGCGTGCACGTGTGATGTCAGATTTGCTTTGTATTACGTCCTTCCCCCTTGCCCCATATGGCAGTAACCGTGGGAAGGTACCAAATGAGAAGGAAAACTTAGGAGACAACAAAAAAGTGTTTTGGTTTGGTTTTTTAATGATATAAACCATAAACCACTGAAAAGGCTTCCTTTTATCCTGACACCTCTGTCTGCCTGAGGACACTGGGAACAAGGGAACCACAGCTCTTGAAGGAGCAGCAGTGATCTCAGGAAGCCCACATGGCTCAGCCACAGGCTTGGTATCTACAGCAATCAGTTTGAGAAAGGGCGAGTTGGTCACCTCTGAGACTTGCCTCCTATTCAGTCTGTTCTCTGTTGGGGTAAGGAGGAAATCAAGCTTGCAGGTTTGACCACATTGCCCCAGGAAAGCCCAGCTAAAATGGGAGAAGCATGTGAGGAGAATGAATGCGTGTTCCACCCCCAGCAGGACGATGCAAAGGCTGAGCTGAAGGCTGTAAGCTCACATGGGCAGGGACCATCTCTGTTGTATGTTTGTTCCGCATCTAGCACAATAGGGTTCTCTAGGTGCTACTGCAATACCAAGAATAAACTATACAGTTACTCCAAAACCTCAGTTTCTTCTATCTTGAGACAGTTTGTTAAAAACCATTTGACTTGGATTTTAAATAAACGTTTTAAAGATCTTTTGAAGCCACTCAATGTGAAAGTCTTTGGTAACATCCCAGTGGATGGATTCATTTCCTACTCACAGGAATCCTGCCCAAGAAGATTGGGCAAACTCTTGACCTTTTTTTTTTCAACAAGACACAAAAACCTTTAACAAAAAGAAAAGCCCTTCAGATACTGGGGTTGTTAACACCAGAATCATCAGTGTGGGCCTGGTTTCTGCCACACACAGATGAGCAGCGGCAGACCACAAGTCCCAAGTTAGTATGGGTTTGAAGGAACATTCTTTAATGATGCAGCAAAACACAGCAATGGTTTTGGCCTTGCTTCTCTGTGCCATAGAAAACCACTACAATCTAGGGGAAAAGAGATGGAACGTGACTGGAAGTTTGGCAACTGGTTCAGAGCAGGCTTCAAGTTGGCCCTAAAACTCTGCTCATGGTTCAAAATTGAGTCCATAAGGGGCAGACCATGCCTTGGGTGGGAGACACAGCATCAGCTGCTCGCGTGCTTCTGCTGGGACCCAGCCTCTTTGTATATGCACCCTGGCCTAGCACCCCCTCCCCTCCTCATCACCTCATGCACCAGACACACAGCTGGGGAAACCACTGGGAGCTGCATCTGCCCTATGGTGTCAGAGACCACCTCATCCCTCCCACCTCTGTAAAACACAGGGAATACCCTGAGACAACCCTGCTCCTGGCACATGACTCCACTGGGCCCCCTTTGCACCCACTTCCCAGGAGAGATGCTCCTGCCACAGTGCCCTGATCCTGCCCAAAGCAAATCATGGCATGCTCTAAACCACTGGAAACACCAACATAAGCTCACAAAACCAAAACATTTCCACCACTTCCTCTCTGTCATTCTCCCTTTCTGAATCCCCTGGCTTCAAAGTTCAACATCCTGTTTTAAGGTGTTCCTAAAGCACGTGCTGTCCTTCCTATGCCAGTCATGGGGCAGGCATTCAGTAGAGAACATTGTTTCCACAGCCTCATCAAAGTGAGCCTATGGGTAATTTCCATTGCACACCAACCAGGAAATGCTGGCAATGGAATAATCTGCTCAAGTGTAAGTTGTTAAACAAAAGCAGTCACATCCCTCTTGGGTTTAGGGGTAATGCGGAAAGCAAGCTAGATAGGGTAGAAATAAAACACAATAGAGTCAGTGCAAAAATGAAGACAAAAGGAAGGAAAAGCTGCATCCATCTTTGAAGGGGAACTTTGAAAACCCTGGAAAATACTGCAAAGAAAGATGCAGCATTTCTGATGCATTATTAAGTGACTTCTTAATTTAGTTGGGCTGAACTCTCCCCCCAGCTACATGCATGAAACCCTGCTGCTCCTTTCTACAGGCTGAAGGCAGAATCAATTGGCACGAGTCGAGCCAACACGTAACTGCAGTCACACACGGCTTTACTGCACCGCTGTTATCTTAACGACTCCCGCTCCTGCATCTTCAGCACATTTTGTTAAAGCAAACAGGCTCCTGTTCTGAAAGCTCCCATGCTAAACCTCTGTGCAGGCTCAGCTGATTTTTACAGGAGAGTTCCATATCTCCGGAAGCAGGAGCATGCGTGGAAATGTAGACTGACCTTTATCATCACTGAAGGAGAGCTGCCACACCTCTCCCAGTGATGCCTGCATAGTTTGCTGAGCCCATGCACACAGTTTGGTTGGATTCTCTCCTGCTTTGCAGTTTCTGACTACAGATAGATATTTGGACGTGGAGCCCTCACTGAGAGCGGATGAAAATCAGACTGACAGGATTGGGAATAGAAGTCCCAGTCCATGACTGAAACCATGCTGCCATCCATGGCTCGCTGCCACAGCACAAATACCCTGCAGCTTGTCAGGCACATATGGTAGCATTTTCTGTCTTAAATACTCATCTTTCTGAAATGGCAACACAGGCAAGGGAAAAATAACCCATTTATGTGCACATGTTTCTATCCTCTCCAGCTTCTGAAATCTTACTCCTTTCCCCACATCCTCTCAAGTTAATAACTTCCCTTAGCCCAAGCCAGATGAACCAGCAAGAAATGAAGTGAATCAGCAGAGTGTATTTAATTCTCTTATGACACACATGGTCAGGTGTTGCCAACTATCTACATGCTCCATGGCATTTCTAGTCCAAATCCCATTGTCAGTTTAGCATGCTACCTAAGGGATTAAGAAAATGAAAACCAGAATTAACTGGACACTGCATGTATGGCTCTTCTGCTCTGATGGATCTCATGTTCAAATCTGTCAGAAGTTACCACAGTCCCTTCCTGCCTCTCCCTGCTGATTGCTGAAGCACCTGCAATCCTCATGGAAATGCACTGTCCTCTTCCCCACCCATGAACTCAGCAGCAGTCCCAAGGTGTGGAGCACGTGGTGAAGCAATATCCAGTAAAGAGGTGCCAGAACAACTTGGGATGACAAGTAACATCTTCCAACTCAGTTGCCACAGGACTGTCACAACATTTATATCTCCTTCAGTGAACCCCAGCTATCATTCACAGGAGAAAATGAAAGATAAACCCACCAGACCAGGCACCTCTACATGAAACAAACCAGCCCAAGGTAAAAATAAGGTATTATTTAAAGAGATCTGCCTTGTCCTTAGGCAGAAACATTCATGCTTTTGCCTCCTTCTGTTCACAACAACGTACCATTGAATTTGAAAGAGAGAGCACAAGGGAAGCCAGTCCTGCCAGTATTGCCTAACAGCACAATAGCAAAGAGAGGGCTCTGCAGTTGCTAAGCGCGTTGACAACACGTTCAGGCTCCGACTCAGTTCTTTTGAGACGTGCCTATTTTCTGCCCACACCCAGTGCTGCCTATTTCTGGGTTTTATAATCACGGGTGCCAGGGAATGTGCACACAGGGAGGCACGGCTTTATCTGGAGGCTAACGCTGCCTCGTGTGAACCCCATTTCCATGTTTCACTTCTGCTTCCTGAGAAACACAAGCAGCCCGTGGCTTCTGCTACACCCTGCAATAACAAGTAACACAAGTGGCCCTCGGGAGCAGGCATAATGCTGCAACACCAATCAGACAGCAAACACCGCCTCCGCTATACATCAAAAAATGGGTTTCAAGAACAGTGACAAAGTGGGCCTAGGAATAAAATGAGAGTGTTTCCGTATTCACATCACATAGACTGATGAGTGCCCACATTCTCTTCCAAATTTTAGCAAGAACTACGTTGTTATGGGATTGTCTTTTCACCTTAAGAAAGATTACTTTGTTCAGAGGAAAGGCTATTGGTAGGCAGGAGGTAGGCCAGATGGAAGAGAGATTATTTTAACAGCTTCACTGTTAGCCTGGGCATTAATCTTCAACAGGAAACTATGAAAAGTAAGTAAAATGTAATTGAGATTTTACATAATAACAATCTTAACACAATAATGTAGAGGGCTTTTTAGACTGGGAAAGGGGAGGGAATGCAACAAATCTTCATAAATTTAGCTAATATTCACTAAAGATGAGACTTAATGAAAAGGGAAACTTTGCTGCAAACCATTTGTGGCTTAGTCCTTGCAATTTCCTGTGGCAGTGGTCGTGGTCACAGCTGGAGGCAGGTTGTTGGGCCACAGGTCAGCTCCACATAAAGCTGGTCTTGCATTCTGGCAAAATCATCATCTGAATGATTTAAATACAGAAGAGACCAACCGCACAGAAAGCAGCCTGCCCCAGCAAAGGAAAGCATCCAGTCAGATCTGCTCCCATCAGATGCACCAACATAGATTTGCAGAGGGGTTTCCCTTTGTGAACAGGAACTACTCTCACCCTTTTGCTCCTGTTTCCCAGCCCTTACTGGCAAGGGTTTTCTTCTGAATGCCATTAAATACAGTGTAACTGCACTCTGCAGCAGCTCAGATTTGAGTTGCAAATATGAATACAATGTCAGGCTTTGTATGACTAGCTATTTTAAGAGCACTATCAAGGCAGGAAAGGCATTTGCTCTAATGTACCCCTGTATAACTGCAGTGACAATGAACACTTGAAATAATAGTGGCTACTGCACATTAGATTGTTCAAACATATAATCAGAGAGTTGGTATTTCTCAAAACCCTGCACTATAAATCTGCCAGAGGGAAGGACAAAGGAAGAGTTGGTCAACCAGAACTCGGTGGCAGAGCTCAGCCTGGACCCGAGCTTCTTGGCCTCCAGCCTGGCAGCCTGTGTGACTCCAGCATGTGATTGCCTTGATCTAGAAGATACGCTGCACCTTTTCCAATCACAGCCGTTAGAGAAGTGCTGCTCTTACAGAAACAGCCCTGCCCAGGAAAACTGAAAACCAAAATGGGCTGCATCCCATTCACTTCCCATTGAGTGTGGTGGGAATTCGTTCATGCCAGGGCAGAATTTGGTCCGTTTTATAGGCCTAGTTTTACAGACAAGGATTTTATCCCTGATGTAATTCTGACATGAATTTGCCATTAGAGGAAAATGCAACACTGAAGTGCAGCTTACCTAGAGTCTTCCTTTATACACTGCCCCACCAACATGCACGCACCATAGCCTGGACATTTCTTCCTTAAAAGCAAAAGGGAAGCTCATCGTGCATTGTACAGTTAAGTTCTGGCTTCCCTTGAATTCACCTCTAATATGCCTGTCAGAACATTTGCAATGCCACCTGGAGACACAAGCATTAGTCCGTGGAAAACTGAGCAGACAAACCTGGACTGAGCTCAGGCAACTTGTTTCATGTTGGCTTAGACAGAGCTTCTAGGGAGAACTCCTGAAGACCACACATCTGGGTTATATTTGTGACAAAGAGACAGCAAGACCCGGTACAAAGCTCCTGGGACACGCTTCCCACCCAACTGTCCCTTGCTGCTTGCTCTTTATGGCCTCGCTCAATGCAACCAGCAGGGAGATTTAATAGCTGATCAGAGAGACTGCGCAGCCTTTAATGTCAGGAGTGTCTCTTCCCTGGAACAGTTTGAAATGCAGCTTACAGAAGGCAGAGCTGCGTTTATACTTGTCAGAAGTTACCCAACTTGGCAACGACTCTTCCCATCATGCAAGTGTCAC